AAGCTGCTGTATACAGTGTAATATATCACTAGGTAGTGGAAATTCTAGACATCATGAGGCTTCAGGCAGACACCCAACAAAAGTCTGAAAATGGCACAGTTATGTTTTTATTTACCATATTGTCAAATATTGTCACATTTTTTTTCCAATTTTGTCCTCATTTTATTACTTTATATCTGATATAGCTCCAAAGGATGTGCAGTTTATTGTTGTGGTCTTAAATGAAGGACTTTGCAGTCTATTAGTGTAGGGATTGTGTTCAACAGTTCTAAAATGCAAACTGGAAGAAGCAAAAGCAAGTAATAAACAAGGCAATGACTTGGAGGCAGCTGAATCTCTGCCCATCTGAGTCTATCAACCTCGACATCTCGGGAAGCCTTGGCAGGCTTATTCATTCTGAGGCATATGACTTGGGGATAAATTTTAAATGCCTAGAGGGTCATCAGTGAGATCACATTGCTCCTCCACATCCAAGTACAGAGGAATGTGGGTCAAGGCGCAAGAGGGAGGAGGAGGCCAAGAGGGCAAAAAAACAAACAACACCTGTTGACTTGAAGGCTTTTGTGCTAACAGAGAAAGCAAACAGCTGGGTCACACTGTGTAACCTTGACTTTGAAAATAGCATTCATACATATGCTCTCTCCTTGCATTACCACATTTTTAGAAATGTAACTGGATTGGCCTGCGCCAGCTTTTTGTGAATTTGTCCCGTCACAGTGCTAGGTAGTGTTTAGTTTTGACTAACCAATGAAATCCAAGAAATCTCCAAGCTGGAAACAAGTTTCTTCAAGTCAGTTGAAAACATTTGTCAAATCAGAGGCAATTAGACGGGAAGTCCCAGTTTTAGAAGATCTGTCAATATATTAGCTGCTAGAATTTTATAAAGATATTTTAAAATCTTCTTTGCCTTATTACTAAATGGTCTTCAGAGTTAAGCAGGTTCTAAACGTCTAGTTATAATTTAGTGGAGCATAAATCTCAGAAGGTATGCAAACCTAATCACAAGTACCTTTTTTTAATCAGGTTGATACTGAAGAGAATACAGTGGTAAGGTTTGGGATGTAGTGGGGTATATTTTGTTTTAGGACTAATTGTATTCATACCATTCATACAAAAGTTTAGAACCACACCTCTTTGTCTTTCATTTCAGATATTTTCAGTCCCATTGCCAAAGGTGTCCAAAATCAGGCCCCCAGTCTGTCTCTACTGCCTTTATTTATTTGTGAAAGAATGGGGCATTCTAAAGAGCCCCTTGAACTCCAATATGATACTGTGATAGGATGCTGCTGATGCAGGAAGACAGTTCATGAAATTTCTGTCCTACTAAATATTCCACCATCAGCTTTAAGTGGATTATTGTAAAGTAGAAGTGTTTAGTGTGCAAAGTCACAAACACTTTGCTGACTCAGTCACTGCAGACCTCCAACCCTCCTCTGGCATTAACATCAGCATAAAAACTGTCCAAAGAGAACTTCATGGCATGGGTTTCCACAACCAAGAAGCTCCTGTAGGTGTAATGTATAAGTCCATAAAGTGTACCATTTTAATCTGATAAGGAAACTGCAGCAAAAACGGCTAGGTGCATTTATTCTCATTTGACAAAACATTTTGATTTGATCTTTGTCTGTACAGCAGTGTTGATCTCGTTCATGCTAGCTGCTGTTTTTGTCTCTGTTTTGTTTAAATGTGTTTAAGCTCAATATCACTGGTTGAAGATCTTTTATCTTTAAAATCAAAACCCTGCTTCATACATCCTCTAAGATCAATGGATGTTTTGTTCACACTGTGGGTTCCTAATAAAAATCTACTGACATGCTTTGAAGTTTCGGGACTGTGAGTAGGTGTTTTGGAAATGAAACTGGTGGGCAACAGATCGCTTAAAAAGAAAACACTCCTACCTGAGGACACGGTGACTTTGCCTTCACATGTGAGGCATCACACGAACACATGCCTACTGTGCATTCACACGCAGAAGGATTTAAACAAGCTGGCAAGTGATTAAGGCCCCTTTTCAACTGCACTCAAAAGAGCACTTGAGTGCTTAAACATTTCTTCACACTGAATGTGTGCTTGTAAGCATTCAACTGTCTGTAAGATGTTTTTTTAATGCTTTAATACACCCTAAAAACGTCTCCATTCAGGAACAACCTGTACAGATATTTGCCATTTTATATACATGCACAGCAGATACGGATACACTTCTGTACCTACATTATTACCTACAGTTTAGCTTTGGGCAGCTGCTCACAATCTTACTTATGAAAAGTCTGTTTCCTCTGCAGCAGTTCTGATTGTTACCATGGCAATGCAAGCAGTGAGAGGAGGAGGAGGAGTGAAGAGCGCTAACCTCGTTATTGGACCCCCCCTCCCCCCTTCAGGCCCTTTTGTCAAGAGCAGCTACACTGCTGGGACATGAGGGTTGCATTCTTCTTTTTCGGCTCAACAGAGTAAGAGGCACAAGTAGTTCAAGCACCGAGCACTGTCATCTTTTGTCAGAGTGCCTATTCTGTAACTCTGCATGGTCTAAAAAAAAAAAATCAGAAACAATAACTCAACATTTTGCAAAAATGTCATGTGACTGACCTGCAACTTGTACAGCTCTCTCTCTCATTTAGTGTTACCTGGGATGAGCTCCAGGATCACCATGGATGGGTGGGAAAATATACATATTTGCATTGATAAGATCCTGCAAGATAAGATCAATGCAAGTGTAATCTAGATCACAGAGTGGGACAGAAATGAGTGAAGTGAAATATATATATATAAAAAAAGTTAAAGTCATAGCGGTTGACCTAAAGTGTTGCTGAGGCTTTTGGAGGTTTACAGATAATCCTATGTGTAACCACCTAAAACTGAATTTTGGACATGAAAATGCAGAAAGTGTGGGCAAAATTGTTGGTACCAGAAGATCAGTGTAGTCAGTTTGTAGTCAGAGCTTTACTCAACAATCCTGTTTAAACCAGCTTTGGTTCCTTCAAAATGCAGTTTCCAAACCATTTGCTATAGTCTAAAAATGGAAATGTAAGGCAGTCTCGAAAAGGGAGATTTTAGACTATTATTGACTTATTTTATTAATTTAACTGCAACGATAAGCAATGGCAGGCACAAAGTCCAGAACTGGAAAACCCTAATCTACTATCTGGATATCCTGACTACACCGGACACAGTAAAAAGAAACCGCTGATGCTCCCAGAGGTTAAGGACCCCATTATACCCACCATGTTCTGCGTGGCAAACAGAACTGTACCACAAAGTTGACGTTAAACTGATATCGACTTTGTCAGTGTTGTCATTAGCTGCCGTTTTCGCTAACTCGTGCACCTCTTGATTTTTGTAACCTGGTGTGTTATTATATTTCCTGCCACCCGGTTAAAGACAGCATGATATGATGTCCCTGTGTTCGTGTTGTTGTTGGTCCAGGTTCAACACTGCAAGTGACCAGTGACATAGCTGTGATGTCATAGTTTTGCAATGTGGAAACACCATCACAACACACACCAAACCCTAACCCTGACTGCCATCCTATTTTTTCTTGAGAGTCCATCGACAGGCTTTTTCCACGATGCAAAACTATGACATCATAACAATGCAATTGGTCACTTGCCATGTTGAACCTGGACCAGCATTTACTACAATAATCAAAAACAACGCCCAATACGGGGATATGAGATACAATTGTGTTGGTTTTTACTATTTTACATTTGAAGATGTATGAGTGCTAATAGTAGTAGCTATAACGAAGACATAAGTCAGCAGTTTAGCCTCATTTCTGCAACCTGCTTGGTTTTAAAGTGGTAGTGGAGAAAAAAAGAAAGAAAGAAAGGCTTTTGTTGTCAAAATACAATCTAGTTTTATTGAATTTCTGGGCCCCATGAAACAGAGATAAACACATATAGAAATAAGATGTAAGACTACAACATGACAACAAACTAGGAGAGAAAAATCTCTAAAACTAACCAGTTAACACAGTGCAACCTGATATTAACCTAAAATGATCATTTTTCTACAGGCAAGCAAGCATCAGTAGTGTGACGTGGGAAGAAAAAAAAACAACCCTAACTTCAAAACACATACAAAACAACATAAAATGAAATGTACAGTACAAACATAGCCAAAAGATGGCGTTTTCTAGATATTCCAGCTTGAAATAAACAGCATGACTGATTGTCAAGCTTAGTCCTCTTAAATCATAATTTACATAAGCATTTTTAAATATGACTGTAAGACTGTGAAATAGTGTCCAAACTCCTGTAACACACTGCCACCAAAGCTCGTTTTATTTTGAGGTCTGCGGCGCGTAAATTAATACATGTAATTTATTCGTTATAACAGATGTGCTGTAGATCATACACGATGGGAGCTGTATCAGATCTCTCCTGGTAATGCTTTTTAAATTGGGTCACGCTCTACTTTGGAACCATCGAGTCCCTGCATTCACAAACTGTACTCCTCAGAGGAAGAAAAGGGGACGGGGGGCCACGAAGGTGTCGACAGTGCCAAGGACATAGGAGACGTACTGGAACAGCAGTTAAGATGCCGCGGTAGAAACAGAGGGATTGCATAGTTCGGCAGCATTGTCTTTCGCAGGTTTTCCTACCGAGCCTCCTAGTTTCCTTTTTAAAAGTACCTGCACAGCCATAAAACCTTGCCCCCCCCCCTCTGTGTCACTCCAGTGGCTTGTTAGAATAAGGAGCGAGATGAGAGGTCTATTTTTACAAACGAGGGGGTGAGGAAAAGTGAGACGGAAGGTGAGATTTTATGAGACAGAGGCAGGAGCTGAGTTTGTGTTGTGTTCACTGTGAGCACATTCTCGATCAAAACGCGCCGCGTTATGAAAGTTTCTCAGTGCCTTTTTGGTTTCGAGGGACGACCTTCGCTTAAAGTCAAGATATTTAAAGAAAGGAGGAAAAGAAACATTGAACACAAATTCAGTATTGCTAATCTATTATTATCTTCAAGTCTTTCTACTCGTTCATAAAGAAATTACGCTATTCACTACATTATATGAGTCGGTAGAACTTTCTGTCATTTCTGGAATGAAACTAATATCCTGAAGCAGGCATGGCGGGGGTCAAGCACTGGCCCACGGAAGGAGGAAAGACACGATAAAAACAATGAGAGAAACAGAGAGAGGTAATGACAGGAGGAGGATAAGAGGAAGAGAGAAGGACGACGGCCACAGAGACGTCAGTTTGGAGCCTCGGGTCACCTCATCAGGACTCTTCTGCTTCTCCACGTTTGGCCTGCAAATGATCAGTGGCCTGACCTGTGATATGCTCTCCTGAAAGGCAGACGCAGGAGAGAACTGAGATAGACCTCAATTTCTCTGTTTGTACTTCATTTTTAGACCCTAAATGAGCAGAGTAACTAATTAAAGCAACAGGGAAGTAATAGTATGAACCTGGAAAATTCTGTGCATTCAGTGAGTCAGAAAGTATTTGGATAATGACACTTTTCAGGGGGCAATTTTCTCTCTCTGTACACCACATAGTAGATTTAAAATCAAACAATCAATATTCAAGACTTTCAACTTTAATTCAAGGGGTTTAACAAAAGTACTGTATTAACTGCTTTACCATTTCTATAAAGATTAAGCCATATTCAAAGCAGTGTTGCCAACTTAGCGACTTTGTCACTATATTTAGCGAGTTTTCAGACCCCTTAGCGACTTTTTTTCTAAAGAAAGTCGCTAAAAAAACA